ACCAGAGTTTACATACCAGGTGAGTAGTAGAATTGATGGCCCTTCTTCTGCCTTCGAATTGAAGTTGTCCTGAAGCATGGATGGATGAGCCCTCATACACATGCATTTAGTTATCTGTCAGGGCAGAGGGTTGGTCAGTCTGTACCATATCTGGGTTAGAGGAAGTCAGCGTGAAAGGAAGAAGCTTATCCACCATTGTTCACCCAGTGCTAAGTCACAGAAGCTGATGACAAGTCCCAGTCAAATACTGCCATTGGAGAGAGGGGCAGGGCACACTGGATGTTCGAGCGCTGAGCTTGTTTCTTTACCCCATCCCTCATCGGTCATAAGAGACACAGTCTCAGCCCCTGGTGTAGCAGCTGAAAAGTCCATGTTATAGCTTAAATTTGAAATCCATCCCCCCCCCCCACATACACACACACACAGGTTCATGTATTTAAGCACTTGGTCCCTGACAGTGGCACTAATTTGGGGAGGTATGGAACCTTCAGGAGATTGGCCCTTATTAAAGGAAGCAGGTTGTCTAGGGGATGAGCCTTCCACCTACAGGTCCAGTCTCTGCTTCCTGATCTACCAAGGCATGAGCAAGCTACCTCAAGCTCTTGTTGTCATAGAATTTAGGGTGAAGCCAGCCTGTGATTGGCAGCCATGCATTGCCTGCTGTGAAAATTCAAGCCACAACAAAGAGATCCATCTTCCACATACATTGTTCCTGCTCTGTACTTTAGCACAATAAGAAATGTAACCAGCATGGTGAATGCATTTACTTGTTTTCTTTCACACTGGCAGTGGCAGCTCTGGGTACCTGATGTCACCAGGGCATGAGTCAGAGGTGCTATCTAACAGTCACAGTTATGGTTATTGTTGGCCATGTCCAAGGGAAACAGTGGCACCAACAATGGTTACAGCAGCCACCACTAAGATAACAAAAGTAAATGTCCAATCGGGCCTATTCTTGGTATGACCTTAGTAATGGACAGTGGCTCAGGTTTGTGCAGCCTGAGTGCCCTCAGTGTCGATGAATGTGGCCCATTTTGTTTCTTAAGATTTCATTGTCTAAATGCCAGCTAAATGCCCCCATCACTAGACTGAGTGGGACAGAACACAGGTGACTTATCCAGGAGCCAGGTGCAGTCATCGGGAGTGGATGCCCGGTTCCTGGAACTCACAGCCCTCCTCAGATAGAGTAGCCACATATCATGTCCAAGGTGAGCAACTGCATCTCTAGCCAACTTGAATGCCATGATCTGCTTGACAACCGGCTTCCTTATTCCATGCCAACAATGGACACTTGGCTTTCTGGAAACAACCCTGTGTGGGCCAGCCTATAGGGCCCAGAATGTGAGTGTTTGTATGTTTTGTTTTTCCTTGAGATACAGCATGGCAGTAAATTCTGTCTTGGGATGAATCCATAGAGGCATATACCCCTGTGAGCAACTACCTTGTGTGTGATTGAAACATGCCGAGAAAATACCTCCCCCACTCATGTCTGATGATGAAAGGGACCTAGTGGAGGATCAGAAAGCCCTGCCTGGAATTCTTGTCCTGCCTTCGGGTAGGACACCTGTCGTTTGGCCACATTCTGACCTTAGTGAGTCTCTGGTTCCTCACCTGCCGAAGAGTGACAACAGTGTTGACCACACAGGTGTGCTACAAAGATTACATGTGAGCCAACCATGGTACCAGCGCCATGTCGATCCCTCAGCAAATAATAGCTACTCAAGAGGCTCAAGAGGAGTCAACTTACCTAATGACAGTCATAATGATTAAAAAAAAAAAAAGCCTCTTGTTTTGAGGTGACTTTAGCACCAAGGGGAACTAAAGGAAGAGGAGGCCCACTTTGTGTCTAGCTAGGATGGTTGTTCTTAGACCTGAGTCTTCACATGGGCAACACATTCTTGTGTGTGCTGATTGTTTCAGCTGCTTGACACACCTGGAAATGAGGAATTAGCTACATCAGGTTGGCCTGTTGGCATGTCTGTGTGGGATTGTTTCATGTATGAAGTGGGAAGGCCCACCCTGAATGTGGGCCAGGAAGAACTGAGAAGGGAGTAGCAAGGATCCACGTGTTTATTCTCTCTCTGCTCTTGACCGATGTGTAGTTTTGACTTCCTTCATGCTTTGCCTTCCCTTCACTAAGGAGTGTAGCCTGGAATTGTAAACCAAATAAATTCTTCTGGTTAGCTGCTTTTAGTCGGGGCTGTTTATCATAGCAACAGAAATGAAACTAGAAGACTGTGACAAGGCTCTGGGTCCAGATTTGGGGTAGGTGCTCATTTCTCACAAGCAATTGCCTGCTGTAGCATGGCTCTGGGCAAGGTGCCTGGGGGGGGTGGTTTCTGCCTGTCTGCTTTGTCCTCCCCAGCTTCTTCTCCCTCCCTTTAATCTTCCAGCACCAGGATCAAGCTGGCCTACATAATTACCCAACTCCACTCTCCCCTGGAAACCTCCCCCTTTCTTTCTCATAGCTTCTCTGTCCAAGGTCAGGCCCTCTGTGTCCTCCCAGTTAAACATCTGTCACTTTACACCCAGCAGCCCCAGTAAGTAGTTAGCAGTGTATCCCTGGACCTCTCTAGACTACTGGAGCTAATGGGATCAGATGCCTAATCTGCCCCACTCTGAGCCCTGCAGGCGTCTTTGCCTTTCCTAAGGCTGTTTCTAATTCTTTGGCTTTGTTTTTTCCAAGGGTCTTCAAATTTCTTCTTCTGATAGATTCCAACTTCTGTTTGTATCCTCCCCTCAACCCCCAGAATTCATATATTGAGCTCATAGTGTCCAGTTCTGGAGATATGGCCATATTTTGAGACATAGCTCCAAAGGACGGGCTTATAGTAAATGGTCATACTGATGGGCCTTAATCTACAATTTGACGGCTGTCCTCATAAGCCACAACTGAGAGACCATGGGAGGCATTGAAAGAAGACAGATGTCTCCAAAGCAGAGAGAGAGAGAGAGAGAGAGAGAGAGAGAGAGAGAGAGAGAGAGAGAGAGAGATATGTCCCAAGGCACCAGTACTGTGAGAAGGTGACTCACTGTTGTGTACACCTCCATCCATGGCATTCCCTGCATCAACTTTTGTCACTCAGCCAAGGTTCCCTGTTCAGAGCTTACCAGCATGGTTCTGGGCCTTGAACCCACTCATACTCTTGGAGACATCTCCAACAATCACACCTTGTGAGTTTGAGTTGTGGAGCTGGTGGTCAGTGACAGGAAACCATGTCACCGAAATGCATGGAACTGAAAACTGGGTACTCCTCATGCCCCACCTCCAGAGCCATCCTACCTCAGGGTTGGCTAGTTTCCTGTTTCTCCCCTCCCTTCAGAAGCAGCTCCCCACTCCTTCCCCTTCTCACTGTCCAGGTTTCTCTGTGTTTTATGTCTGTTGAAGATTCCCTTCTTCATCCACTACTGCTCATCCAAGACCTTTGCTTCATGGATTTTTCTCTACCCTAGAAAGATTCCCCTGTGGTTTAAGAGTGCAGAGACAGGAATTCTTTTTTCCTCTTCCTTTGAATCTTGACCTCTGACAAACACTACAGAAATCATCTTCAAATCTTTCCCCCTCAATGCTCAAATTCTTCCTCCCCGCCCCCCAAACTATATGTTACACAGAACCCTAAGATGTGAAACACAACTTTACAAGAACTATAGGCAAGCATGACAGTGTACACCTTTGATCCCGATGCTTGGAAGGTGGAGGTAGAAGAATCAGGAGTTCAAGACCAGCCTGGGCTACACAGCTGCCCTGGATTACAGATCTCAAAAGCTCAGGAAAACAACTGTGATGAAATCCAGATGGTGTAAAGTTTAAGTATTTAATTTTAAACAAATGACTCAGTGGCATTCTGTGCAATACTGTTCCTGAATGTCACTGGTGGATGTTACCTCTAATTCTAGAATACTTTTATTTTATTGGTGTTTTGCCTGCATGTATGTCTGTGTGAGGATGTTGGATCCTGGAGTTACAGTTATGAGCTGCCATGTGAGTGCTGGGAATTGAACTAGGGTCCTTTGGAAGAGCACCCAGTGCTCTTAACCACTGAGCTATCTCTCCAGACCCTCTAGAACACTTTTATCACACCAAAATAAATCCCTGCACCCAGCCATTCAGCTGTTATGTTCTTCCTCTAGCTCCTGGGAACCACAGCATTGGTTGTCCCTATGGATTTGTCAATTCTGTCACTATAAATGGAGTCACCCAATGTGTGGCCTGTTATGTCTATCTTCCTTCACTTCCCAACACTACTGATGCTCATCAGAACTGTATCATGAACCAGTGCTTCCTTTTTATGGCTGAATAATATTCCATTGTGCAGCTAGAAAGCTGGTTATCTGATCCTCTGCCTGCCTACACATGCACAATTCTGCTCTGTTCAAATACAAAGTGGGGTATTGAGCTCTTCCACCTCTGGATTTCCCCCTGGAGGTGCCTTGAACACCTCCAGGCAGTGTGCAGCACCCTCCCAGTATCCCCGGATCCTTGGACAAAATGCTGATTTGTTTCCCCAAGTGGTTCTGTCTGATCACAGGGTCAGAGCCTTCTGCGGGTACTTTCTTTTACCGAGGAGAAAAAAAGTGAAGGAATCATGAGAGAAGACAGTGGGCAGGAGAATATTTGTCTGGGTACCAGGTCTGCAGGTCTCCTTCACAGCAGAGGGCAGGCAGCCTGCCTGTCAGCAAATCCAGTCATGCAGTGCTTTTTGTGACTTCACTGGTTGAAATTCAAGCCACGCCTGGGTAAGTTCATTCTCCACACACCAACAGTGCCAGACTGCCACGTCATCTGGTTTCTACAAGTTTCCTTTGTCTTCCCATAGCATCTGCAGTGGAATTTCCCCAGGTGCACACAAGAAACTCTGTGAGCATGTGACTTCTTTCTAGAAAGAGATATGTTCCCTGATCTCATGCACAAAAGCAAGCAATGCTAGGTGTGACCAATCAGAGGGCAGGGGCAGCTTTGGTTAGAATAAGCCTGCTCTGAAAGGCGCCTCTGCTGTCACCACAGGGAAAATGCTCAGCATAGAGGCCCTGGGACAGAGCAGCTGGGTGGTGCAGATTCCCAGGCAGGAAGGCTTGGATAAGCTCAGCCACAGCCCAGGTATGAAGCCAGCTGGTTTGTGACAGCACCTGGGTGGGGAACAGTTGTTTGTCCAACTGGAACAGGGCTCGGCTTAGACCTCACTGGTTTTTAAGTGAAGAAGGAGAAAGTTCAGCTGTTGAAAAGCAAACTTTCTGTGGGCTGAAGCCTCCAAAGTGCAGACTATCCCTGAAGGTAAGAGGAGCACCTGCCTTTCTGGCCTGGGGCAGCTGAAGGGTGCCTGTCCTGGAGTCCCCAGAAGAGGGTTCCCTTGTGACTCTATCGGGTTCTCTTTGCAGTCTCAGAGTCATGTTGTATCAGGAGGCATTCTGCCATTTGCTTTTGTCTGTTTAAAAAGCCATTTCGGCACTTGGAAGGTGGAGGCAGGAGGATCAGGCCACCCCTAGCAACACAGTGAGTTTGAGACCACTTTGAAAAAAATTAGCTTTTGTGGTTTTTAAATAACATTATTCAATTTATTTAGTGAATGAGTATCAAAAATTATTACACCTGAGCATGGTAGTACATACCTTTAATTCCAGAGACAAGCAGATCTTTGCAAGTTCAAGGCCAACCTGGTCTACATAGTAAGTTCCAGAACAGTTAGGGATATGTAGAGAGACCCTGTCTCAAAAAAGCTAAAAAGGAAAAAAAATTAATATTACAGTGGACCATGTAAGATTTAATGTCATATATTTTAGCCTGGTGAATACAAGGAATTTAATAACTGATTAAGGAATAATGGTTCTAGCAACATTATTTACTTATGAGTCTTCAAAGTGAACAAAATAAACAATGCAGATCAATTTTAAATAAATGACTTTTTTTCATTCTACAACTTAGTATGGTACATATGTGGAGTGAATGTTCAAAGCAAATTGTCTGCTAGTTTTCCACACTGCCCTTTGGTGGGGAAACGTTCTACCATGCAGGGCATGGCTGTTTCTAAGCCCCAGTCTCTTTTCTGGCTTCTGTGTCTTTGCCAATGCCACTCTTTTAATTATTGGAACATAATAAAATCTGAAATCAGAAAAAAAAAGCAAATTGTCTGAAATTATTGATCATCCACATTCTCTTAATTTAAAAGTTAGGAACAAAAGTCTTGAACACAACAGTGACATGCTTGCCATTACATCTGTTTTGAGGTATTTGAAGTATTTTATTTTATCAATACTGGGGACTGAACCAAGGTCTTGTGCATTCCAGGCAAGGGCTCTCACATTGATCCACACTCCCAGGCCCCAGACACATTTTAATTGGGCCTGCTCACAATATTTATATTTTATGAATTGTTCAGTACACATAGTGTGTACTGGTTACTTCATCAATGTTGGCTGAATGACTAAGCAAACCAACTGGTTCATTTTAATTTTGTTTTAAAAATTAGTTTGTTTTAATTTTTGCATGTGTGCACGCACATACCCATGCAGGAGTGATATTCCTGCTATAGCTCTCTTACAGAGGCCACAGGACAATTTTCAGGATCCCATACCACTCACTGATCAAGGCTAATAAGGTTTCTCTTGTAGACCAAGCTAGCTGGTCTACAAGCTTCCTGCCAGCCTTCTGCCTCTGCCTCCCATCTTGCTGTAGGAATGCTGGGATTACAAATGCATGCAACCCCATCTGGCTTTCTACTTGGATTCTGGAGCTTGAATTCTGGTCCTCCCCACTGCTTGAGACTGGTGCTCTCTGAGGCAAACCAGCTTTAAAAATTGTCTGCCCCCCCCCCACAAGTTTCTATGGTTTAATTTCTCCGTGAAGAAAAAGAAAGTGAAGGTGCCAGCTTGGTCCCTGATTTTTAGCAAGTGATGTCAGGCAAGGGACAGGGCCTCTCTGATAACTGTGTAGGGCATATTTTAGTTATGAGGATTAATATTGTCACCAAATGCCCCTCAGCACGATTCTATTTGTCTTGGCAGCTTCATATGAGTATATATTCCTAGCCCTCCTACCCCACACCCTCAGTTTCCTCAGCAAGTAGCCCGCTCTGCTTTCATAAAAACATACACAGAAGTGAAGCTGAGTTGACAAGACAAGTGTTCAGAGGAAAGAACAACAAAAACCATGTTGTTGGAGAGTAGATTTCACGCCTCCTAATGTTTGACAGCACACTGTACTCTCACCATCAGCGAGAAAGCAGCCGCGCTGAGTTTCCAAACTGAGTACAATTGGAAACAGAAAATCCTCCTGGGAGCGGTGTTCCCCAGGCTTCTTGGCTTTGTGGGGAGACTTTTGCCACTCGTTTGTGTATGCACATATGTGTGCACGCTGGCATTAACTCACTCAGGAACAAACTTGCCGTTCAGAAGCTGCTGCCAACCCTGGGCGGGGAGTGAAAACAGCAGCCCGTATTGGGAAAGAAGTCTGGGTGGCTTGTTGCAAAAGAAAACCCAAAGTGATTTTCCATGATGTGGCTGAAGAGATAAACATTTACCATCGTCTGGCTCTGAGTGCGGGGGAGATGAGCAGAGGAGAAAACCTCAGCTCTCCTTCCATTTTCCAGATATTTATGCCCTTTTGTTTTTTCCAGTCACTCTGACAACATTCTGAGGGACGCTGGGCACCCTTGAGTCACCATGGGCAATGAGAACAGCACCTCGGACCACCAGGTGGGTTCAGGAGGCTTCTTGACCTCCTCCTGCTGCACGGCTCTCTTGACTATATTGCCCCCCCCCCAACATCTCTGTCCAGCGAGAGACAAGGGAAGACACAGCTTCCTCCTGGATCCATGTGGTGTATTTGTACCTGTGGGGTACAAATCATCATTACATTTTCAGAATTCCTTTAGCACTACAGCTAGTCCCATTTCACAAGTCATGAACACTAGTTTTTATCCCGTGCTTTTAAAGTCGATGTCATGAGCACATTTTCTGCAGACTGTATCTACTCAGCAACTTCCATGGACTCAGCAGAGATTAAAATGATTTGCAAATGTATGAATGCAGAGCTGATTTAATACAAATAGCTGTTTTCCTGTCAGAAAAGATTTCACAGTTGAAGAATGGACCTTTAACTGTTCTATTGTGTAAGTCTGGGATAATAACACATATCTGAAGTTTGCCATTATCCGTTTTAAGTTTAAGGATATCAGCTTAATGCCCTGGTGAACAAAGTCAGAGACACTTTCCCATTAATTCACACAGGTGAACATTTTGGATTAATGGTATGGGCCTCTTTGATTGAAGAAATTGGATTTAAAAAGTAGCCTGGGGCTGGGGAATATTTTCGTTGATGAAGTGTGTGCCACCCAAGTATGTGGACCTGAATTCAATCCTACAGAACCTACATATAAAGCAGGTTCAGTGGCATGCATGTTTAATCCCAGCACTGGGGAGGTGGAGACAGGAGGATCCCCTGGAGCTCACTGACAAGCCAGCCTGGTAGAATGGGAAAGTTTCCGTTTCAGTGAGAAACCCTGTCTCAAAGAACGAAGTGAATGGTACCTAAGGAATGACACTCAGGATTAAGCACCCTGCACACACATGAGCATACACATACACACACACACACACTAAAAATAAACACAAGGCAGCCAATTGCCAATTGTTTTCTCAATTCCTTCTTGCAAATGGTCTTCTCTCAGGCAGGGAAGTATCAGTGTGAAAAGAAAACACGTGGCAAACTCTAGGATTTAGCGAATAGGCAAGAAGCAATGGCTGTGGGCGTGAGACAATAGGGAGTGGTAAGAACTGTGGTAAACAGGTGGGTCTGGCCTCCTGGAGGCAGCCACCACCAACTCAGATGATGGTGGTCGTGGGTGAAAGTGGGCCCAGTGCAGCAGGGTTTTATTTATTCAAAAGAAGTCAGAAGCCCATAGTTTTCTACAAAGTCTTTAATGTTTTCTGTGTGCATTTTATTTATTCAGTGTGTGTCTAGACCGTGTCTGTGTAGAGGCATGCACACATCACAGCACATTTGTAGAAAAGACAACTTAAATGAATCATTTCTCTCCTTCTATCATGTGGGTCCTGGAGACCAACAGTCTTCAAACACATCAACACGTACTCTTGCTCACTGAGTCATCTAGCTGGCTCTTTAATTAGCTTTTTAATTTAAGATAGTGGTGAACTTATATATAGTTTAACAAATACAAAGAGAGAGCTTCAAGGGTGACATCTTACAAAATTAGTCTACAGTTTCACAGTCTATACATTGAGATGGCCAAGGTCAAGAAACTTTTCATAGCCAGGTTCTTCGTTCTGCCCTTTATAGCCACACCCACTTCTCTCCTGTCTATCACCTGTAACTCTGACAACTGACAATTTACAATTTTATCATTTCAAGAATATTATAGAAGTAGGGTCTGTGGTGGTTTCAATGTAATTGGCCCCCATAAACTCATAGGGAGTGGCATTATTAGAAGGTGTGGCTTGGTTGGAGAAGGTATGACTTTGTTAGAGGATCACTGTGCTTTGAGGTTTCCTATGCTCAAGATACCACCCAGTGTTGGAGACCATTTCCTGTGCCTTCAAATCAACATGTAGCAGCTCCTTCTCCATTACCATGCCTGCCTGCATGCCACCATGCTCCCCACCATGATGAAAATGGACTGAATCTTTGAAACTGTAAGCTGCCACTTCAAATGTTTTCCTTTATAAGAATTGCTCTGGTCATGGTCTCTCCACAGCAATAGAAACCCTAGCTAAGACAGAATCAGACAGTGTGCAATCTTTTAGAACTGATTCCCACCCCCCCCCACCCAAGTGGGCAGAATGCTCTTGCAATACACCCAAGCTGTTATGTAGTAGATTCTGTTCTCTGTCATTATGGAGTTGTCCATGTTATGGAGGTGCAATACAGTTTTGTCTCTAGTTGGCTATTCCAAATGAAGTTGCCATGTGCATTTATGTATAGGCACACATGCACACATTCGTGTGTGTGTGTGTGTGTGTGTGTGTGTGTGTGTGTGTTCATTTTCATTTCTCTGAGATAATCACCCAAGTGTTCAATTTCTGACTCCTATAATGATTGCATGCATAGTTTAATTGTCAAACTGTTTCCAGTCACTATGTTCCCCAGTTACTATGGTTCCCCAATCACTGTTTCCCAGTTACTATGGTCCCCAGTCACTGTGTTTTCCAGTTACTATGGTCCCCAGTCACTATGTTTCCCAGTCATCATGTTTTCTAGTCACTATGTTTCCCAGTCACTATGCCGTCTTACCTTCTCACAATACACTATCAAATATCAGCTTCCCTGAATCTGACAAGCATCAGCAGAACTCCCTTAGACTGCCTTGCTCTGTCCTGTGCAAGTGGGAATCAGTCACTGAAGAAGCCATGAATGCTGCACAGGCGTTAGCCACTTAGCCTAGATTCCAGACCACTCACACTATAGTGCTGGTCTTGAAGCTACCCTTTCACAGCAGCCCAAATCTACATTGCAGTGCCACCATGCACCACTCTCCAATCATCTCATAGACACTGTCATCTTTCACCATCATACGGAGGCTACAAATGGTACAATAAGATGCCTGAGGCCTGGAATAAAGGCTAAGAACATTTGCTGCTTTTACAGATGACAAGAGTTTAGTTCCCAGAGCCATGTCAGGTGGCTTACAAACACCTTATAATTCCATATCCATGGTATCCCAGTGCCCTCAGAATTCTGGCCTCTTTGGACATCTGTACCCACATTTACAAACACACACACACACACACACACACGCGTGCACACGCATGCACATTCATACACACATAAGTAAATTTTTTAAAAAAATATGTTTGAAGGAGAAAAAGAAACCAGTCATAACATTTATTATAGTATATTGTCTTAATTATATGCTCATTAGTTACTGTTGCTTTTTTTCTAGTTGACTACTTTGTAAGCAAACATCATCAGAGGTCTGTATGTTCTCCAAAGAGCAGAATCAGTGCAAGTTCAGTGCTACCCACTGTTTCTGCCCACCTTGTGGCCTCCACGGTCTAGGAGTGTATGAGGATAAGGGACAACTAACCTCTTTGGAAAAAATATGTTTTGCTCACTTTATAAATGTTATTATTTTGTTGTTGGATTTTGGGAGTTCTTTACACAGTCTAAAAGTCAAATTGTGATTTGTAGATGCCTTCTTGTCTGTAGCTTATCTTTCCATCCTCTTAATAAGGTTTTGTATGAAACAAAACATTTTACTTTTAGTGAGCTATAGGGTGTTTGATTTTTCTTATGGATGGTTCTACTGTTAAGTCTTCCTAGCTCTACATCCTGGAGATTTTCTTTTTTTTTTTCTGCAGTCTTTAAATTTTAACATTTTATGTTTAAGTCCATGATCCATGAATTAACTTTTATATTTATGGTTGTGAGCCTAGCCTTTAACGGCTGAGCTATCCCTCCAGCCCTGGATCTAGCTCTTGTAAATCAGTCTGGTCTCTCAGAGATCTGCCTACCTCTGCCTCCTGAGTGCTGGGATTAAAGGTGTGTGCCACCACCACGAGGCTCATACCAGCCTTTTTATTTTCTTCTCTTAGGTTAGTTTTAGCTTCATAGTCATCCTCATTATCAGCTTCCTCCACCAGAGTGGTACATTTGCTAGAACTGGCAAGTTCATATTGACACATCTTATCACTCACTGTCCATACATCATGTGAAGATTCATTCTTAGTGGTATGCTGTCTGTGGACTTTGACATATGTAAGCACATGCAGTTTGCATAATATTATCATTATCATATTCCTAAAATTTTCTATGCTTGACCTCTCCCCATCCTTCAGGTCTTGGCAACCACAAATTTGAAAAAAAATTATTTTCTTATTTTATCATCATCAATGTGTATATGTGATGGTACACATGCCACAGGACATCGTATTGGGGTCAATTCACACCTTCTACCATTATATGGATTCTGGGGATAGAATCCAGGTTACCAGGCATGCATGACAGGTGTCTTCATTCCAGGAGCCATTTTGCTGGTCCAACCACAGATAGTTGTATTATTTCAACGGTATGATTTAGTTAGAATCATATAGTATGCAGTCTTTTCTGATCAACTTCTTTGATTTAGCAAAATCTAAAAAATTACTGTTTCTTTTTGTGCCTTGATGGCTCATTTTCTTTTTTCTTTTGCTTGTACTGAATAGCATCCCATTTTCTAGATACAGTTTACTCATCTATCCAGCACCATCCTGGATGCTCCCACGTGTTGCACAAAGTTGGAGTGTTCATGTTTATGTTTTATGCAGACATAAGCTGTAACTCTGTTGGGTAGATAGGAAGGAGTGTGATTGCTCTATCAATCACGTGATAAGGGAAAGTTTAGTTTTATAAGAACCTGCCCAGCTACCTACTGAGATGGTTCTTCCATTTCACAGTCCTCCTGCTAACAAATGGGGCTTCCTCTTGGATCCCATCCTCCCCGGTGCTGGGCATTGGCATTGGTCTAGATCTGTCATCTCACAGGTTCCTAGTGGTGTCTCACTATTGCTTTAGCTGGAACTTCCCTGATGATACATGATGACAAGCATCCTGTCTTGTGCTGTTCACCTTCATGTGTCTCCCTTGGTGAGCTTTCAAAGCCTTGGGCTCATTTTTAATAAGCTTGTTGGCTTTTTGTTTTGTTTTTTTGAGACAAGGTCTCACTATGTAGCTTTGGCTGATCTGGGACTTGCTATGTGGA